AGGCTAAACTCCTCCCCAGGGGCAGCAAATGTCTACTGACTGCTAAATAAGGAGGTACAAAGGCCAGCCCCCTACCTCAACTCAGGACAGCTCCGAATGGCTAGCCCAGCTCTAGAGCTCCCCATAGGATTGGCTGCAGCCTCTGTTGCAACTGCATCTCAATTCAACCTCTCCATCTGCCCTTCCTGCTTCCCTCACCCCTCATAGGTACTGTTCCCAAGAGCACACAACAATAAACCTCATAGATGCAAATGTCAGAGGCTCAGAGCATGTTTCCAAAGGAAGCGGGCCAAAGACAACACCACAGCAAAAATAAATACTAGATGATAGGGTTTCCCACCATCCGAAAGAATTGAGATTGAAACGTAGTAACTGATTCTACTGGGTACCTCCATAGGCTAATGTTAGTTTCTAATGCAATTCCCATTATACCTGGAAGCAAGTCATAAGTACTCACGCTGTTACAAAGTGTTTATATTTAAGTTCGTTAAAACAATAATGAATCACTGACTTAAATGAGGAATTGCCAATTAGTGAGTGATTTTACAGGGACTATAAAGTGCTATATAGCTCATGTAAGCTATCTGGTGGTCAAATCTGCATGGTATCAAATATGTCTGATCGCATATTTCTTAACATGGTGTTTGCTTGAGAAGCTTGTTAAATATTTTTTTAGTTATGTAATTGTGTATAAGCCCAAGGAGGCTAAACAGAAGTGGTAAAAAGAAAAATAAATTTTACAACAACAGACAGCACTGAGTTTCATGTAGATCCAAAGAGAGACTCTAAGATGGATTATTAAAGAAATGGCTTTTGAACATTAAGACCAGGAAATAAGGATCATAAAGAGTCAGAGTGGGTTAAAGTGGTAACACAAAGAATGTATCAGATACACCATATTTGGGTGTCAGTTAAGATACCTCATGATGATTTTGTTGAGGTCAAGACAGAGATATAAGCTGAAAAATAATATAAATAGCTGAGGTTAAAAAATGTTGAACAACTGCATCCAGAGAGAACTGCTCCCTTAACTGACAGTTGGAAGGAAAAATTTTGGTGGCTCTAAGTTTTGCCTCTATCTCTCCTATCTTGTCCTGATGATCTGCAAAGGAATGGGGGCACATAGGAAGGGCTTGTGTTTATAGGCCACAAGCCAAGTGTTGATGGAAACCGGACTGGCTTTATTTTCTAAGGGGAAAATCACTATGACAGGCACAACATGCTATCTAAAGAAATACTATACAATCTTAATCAGAATGGTACAATACAATCCTATAGAGTCAATAGCATGAAGTAACAAAGTTATCACAACACAAAGGCTTTACAGATTATGGGAACCTCAAAGGTAAGTGTTACTCAGAAGCCATAACTGAGACTTTAGCAACCGACATTTAACAAATATATATTGAGCTTCTTACATGTGCCAGGAACTGCTTTATGCATTGGAGATAAAGCTGTGGACAAGAGATTACAAGACCCTGTTACATTCTAATTGTGGGAAAAGCAAAAGGATAATAAATGGCTAAAAAATTATTAAGAAAATATTCCATCATGATGATTCCTATAAAGAAAATAAAACATGGCACTATGATAGGGAGAAATTGAAGCTACCTTAGCTTGAATTTAAGAAAAGTCCTCCCTGAAAAGGTGTCATTTGAGCTAAGATCTGAATAGCAAGGAAAAATAAGTCATTTGAAGGTAAGAAGGAAGAACATTCCAGGCAAAAAGAACCAATGTTAAAAAAGCCTCACATAGACAAGCTTGGAAAGGATAGTCGTGTGGCTAAAACATACTGAGTGAGAGATATAAAGGTTAAGAGTGGAGATCAGAGACCTAAACAAGAGTCAGATCATGTAAAGTTTTATGCATTGATACATGGAGGAGAGACATAACTGATTTGCTTGGAAAAATCACTCTGGCTGCTATTCAAAGAACCAAATACAGTACAGATAGAGGTGGATAGAATGCAAGTTCAGAGACCATGTTAAGAAGCTATTGTTATACAAATAATACATTATATGTTAAAAAAAAAAAGATTAAAAAATAAATAAATAAATAAATAAATTTTAAAAATTAAAAAAAAGATAATAGGAAGGGAAAAATGAAGGGGGGGAAATCGGAGGGGGAGACGAACCATGAGAGACTATGGACTCTGAAAAACAAACTGAGGGTTCTAGAGGGGAGTGGGTGGGGGAATGGGTTAGCCTGGTGATGGGTATTAAAGAGGGCAGTACTGAATGGAGCACTGGGTGTTATATGCAAACAATGAATCATGGAACACTACATCAAAAACTAATGATGTAATGTATGGTGATTAACATAACAATAAAAAATAAATTAAAATAAATTAAAAAAAGACTGGGTATCCAAAACACAAATACAAAGTATTTTAGAGTGAAAGGGTTTTGTACTTAAATTAAACATTTAAATATGTGTAATTTTATCTTTATCTCATTAATTTAGGATTTTAATCATTTGTGAAATATGTATCATCTTCAACTTATATTAGCAAAGCTATCAATACTTCTAATTTATAAATAAATAATATAGCTATAAAAAAAAAGAAGCTATTGGGACGCCTGGGTGGCTCAGTCGGTTGAGCGGCTGCCTTCAGCTCAGGTCATGATCCCAAGGTCCTGGGATCAAGTCCCACATCGGGCTCCCTGCTCTGCGGGAAGCCTGCTTCTCCCTCTCCCACTCCCGCTTGCTTGTGCTCCTGCTCTCGCTATCTCTGTCTCTGTCAAATAAATTAATTAATTAAAAAAAAAAAAGAAGCTATTGTTATTGGTAACGGAAGCTCCAAGAAGGTGAAATTTAACAAGGACAATCATAAGCCTTGTCTTTATACCCAACCCCCCCCCAAAAAAAACAATAGCATAGTATAAGTTAGGAGATTCATGAGTTACAGCAGCACAGATTTTAAAAGAACAGGGAAAAACAAAATGGTGGGGGTATGTCAAAGGAACATAGAGGCCAATAGGCAAAAGCTTCCATTGGCCAAAACTGGAACAATTTGAGCAATAAATAATATACTATTGAATTATAATCCAAAGTATCAGATAAATATCCATGAGTCCATACTTACATAAATAAATGAGTAGATAAATAAATGGGGGAAACTGACAAATCTCCCATATAGAATTCCAAATAATTTATGTAAATACTCAACCTTGAGGAGATGGAGTTTAACTCTTCACCTCTTGAGTGTGGGCTGCTCTTCCAAAGAGTACAATATAGAAACAGAGAATAAAGTAACCTCACAATAGAGACACCATGGCCAGGTGATCAAAGGTTAGTGTCAGTGATAAGTCAAGTTGACAGTATGTGCCCTTGATATAATAAGATTGGCACTTCACCTTTGTGATCTTCCTCCCCAAAACCCATAACCCCAGTCCAACCATAAAAAAAAAAATAGACAACCACAAATTGAGAGACATTCTACAAAATGCCTGACTGTCAAGGTCATGGAAAACAAGGAAAATCTGAGAAACTGTTACAGTCCAGAAGAAAGTAATGAGACATGACAACTAAAAGTAATATGTATCCTGGATAAATCCCTAGAACAGAAAAGGGACATTTCCCTAAAAACTAAGGAAATCCAAATAAATTATAGTTAACAACAAAGTACCCAATGTTGGTTACTTAGTTGTGCTGAACATATCAGAGTAATATAAAATGTAAACTGGGAGAACTGGATGGAGAATATGTCATGATCTGTACTATCTTTTAGCTTTATAATCTAAAACTATTATAAAGTTAAAGGTTATTTTATTAAAAAAAAAAAAGCATAGGGACGTTGAACTGTTTCCCATTAACATAAGTATGGTATCTAAAAATTAGAAGCCAAAGATTTCCTCCACTCAGTCTTGTTGAAACAAAGCCATAGTACTATGGGGAACACAGTAATGCCAGGTGCCCTGCTTGGGGAAGAATGCAGAGAAATGCTCTAGAAACAGGAGTAACCAGAATGGACAGAGGACTTAAAGTCATGTCACATGAGAAATAACTAAAAGTACCGGGTATGCTTAACCGAGGAAACCAGAAAGGCACAATAGCTTTCTCAAAATACATGAGGGGTCATTATAAAGAGTGAGGATTGGACCCTCTTCTAAGTCTGAAACTGTAGCATTTGGTAAAAATGGAGGGAAGATTATGAGTGGAAAAATATCTATTCAAGAAAAGGAAGAACATTATAAACCTAGAATTTCCTGCCCTGGGAGGCAAACACATGCCCTTCCAATCCTGAGCATTCAGGCTTCTGCTGGAAATACATTTGTCCAGAAGTCGTAGAGGAGATGGGTATTTGAACTCCAGAAGACTTTCTAGGTATTCACTACAAAAATGTAATGTCTTCCTGCTTCTCTACCAGCACTTAATAAATGACAAGAAAACTGGTAGTACCCCAAACCAAGGTTACACTATAGTAATTTGTATACTCTAGTCACTTTTAATTTTTTATTAACAAATTTATTTATTTATTTTGCCTTGTAAAATGTCTTTTAAGGGGCACCTGGTGGCTCAGTCATTAAGCGTCTGCCTTCAGTTCAGGTCATGATCCCAGGGTCCTGGGATCGAGCCCCGCATCAGGCTCCCTGCTCAGCAGGAAGCCTGCTTCTCCCTCTCCCGCTCCCCCTGCTTGTGTCCCTCTCTCGTTGTGTCTCTCTCTGTCAAATAAATAAATAAAATCTTTTAAAAAAATGTCTTTTACTACGGGTAGGTAGACCTTCTCAACTCTGTTAGTGGAATAATGTGGATATCCCTATATCTCCAGCACAGACCTCACCCTCGAATTCAAGATTCACCTGTCCAATTGTTTATTTGACCTCTCTACTAGAATGTCTAATGCACATCTCCAACTTAATGTGTCCAGTACAAAACTTCTGATTTCCCACCTAAACCTCCCTCAGTCTCATCAACAAATACCACCAATCTACACCTAATTTCCTTCCATTTATCCCACACATCCATTTCATTAGCATGTCCTTAAACACCTGTATGTTTTGCTCTCTTTGGCAGCACATATACTGAAATTGGAACAATACAGAGATTAGCATGGCCCCTGTGCAAATAAGACACCCAAACTTGTAAAGTGTTCCATATTTTTTGTACAGTAACAGATGGTAGCTACTCTTGTAGTGAGCATAGCATAACATGTGAACTTGTTGAATCACTATGTTGTACACCTGAAACTAATGTAACACAGTATGCCAACTATACTTCAGTTTAAAAACCCTGTATGTTCATGTGTCAACTTCTCTCCATCTTAACTACCACCCCCAGTCCAAAGTAGTCCTACCTAGACTATTGCAATCACTTCTAACTGGTCCCCTACTTCTACTCTTTCCCCTTAAAATTTATTCACAAAGCAGCCAGAGATTATGGCCATGTGTGCGCATGCACATACACACAAACACACACACACACACAGAGTCAAGCCCCTTCTTAAACTGTTAACCATGACGCTTAAAAAAAATTCTAACTCCTTACTCTCTTGTCTGGTTCTTGTCAATCTCTCTGAACTCTTCTTACCATTTTCCTCCTAGCCAATGCTCCAACCACATTAGCCTTTTCACTATTCCTCACAACCTCAAATTCATTTCTTCCTTAAGGATATTGGAACAGCTGCTCTCTCTGCCTAATACGTTATCCCCATGATCTTCAAATGTCTGGTCCCTTCTTGTTATTCTGAAATAGCCATTAAGGCACTCTTCACCACATTGGCCTATTTTCTCTCTCTGCATAGTACTTATCACTAGTTGACATTGTGTTGTTGCCTTTTTTATGTTTGTGTTGCTTTTGTCTGCAAGTTGTCTGAGAACAGGAAGCTTGTATACCTTATTTACAGTTGTAGCCTCAGCACCCCAAACAGAGCTCTGAATATAATAAGCAGTCATAAATATTTGTTCAATGAGTAATTTTAATAATATGACTGAAGATGATATTCTGTCATAAGACTTGAAATTTTCCTCAAGTGAGCTTTTCTAATATTTGAAAAAAAAAAACAATCTTCTAAAATATAATCAACCGTTAAGATTAACACGATAAATATCAAATGATGCTAATCTACCAATTTTTTCTACGTTCCCCAAATTCACCTTTGCACATTCCGTTCTCTATGTGTATGTTTGCACTATTGTCTGACTGAAATAATTTCTCCTGGAATGTTCTCTAATGCCCAATATCATCTATGTAAATATAATAATCTGTGAAAATATCATCTATTTTTAGGACCCAATGCCAAATTCTACCTTCCCTCTGACACATTCTCTGATTAACATCTATCTTGTGTGCACCCAAAATACTTTGCTCTTTAATGACAAAACTTCTCAGTGAGAGGGCTGGGTATTAACAGATAAGAGTTTCTCAAAGTTTGTTCCCTAGAACACTAGGACTTGAGGCAATTTGTACAATTCACATTAGCTTGGGAAACACTGCAAAATATATATACCTATTTTGGGGGATTCACAACACAGTAAAATTAAAGGATCTGGACAAAGTCCCATAGTGAGTAAGGTGTGGGATGTAACCTTCTGTAACTCAATTTTTGTTTGCCATTATTTGATTACAGAATCATCAATTAAAAAAAAAAAAGCAGATATCCATTAACATCTCACAGTAGATAGCCTGAGATACACCTGAATAATGGTTACAAGCATGGGTTTTGGAAGTTGCTAAGTTAGGGGACTTCAGTTTTAACCTGGCCTCTAACAATGATTAAAGGAGTGACTACGAGCAAGTAATTGATCTCTGGGCCCCCACCTTCCCATCTGAAATAGAGTTGAATAGGACTATCGCATAGGATAAGCATAAGGATTGAATAAGAGTGGCAGGGTGCCTAGGACCTAGCAGCCACTCTATAAATAGTAGCCACTATTTGATTAATAATTTTTTTATCACTGTTGTACCTCAGTAAAGTCAGGAATTTTTGGTGTTCACTTATGAATCTCCCACAAGACAAAACAGATACCATGCATAGAGACTTAAGGGTTTGCAAACTTTGGGCATGCTTTGGGCAGGGCAGCTGCCACAAGAATGCCAGCACCAGGTCTGAAATGCTCAGGCCTCACACCATCCCTATTGCCTTATTTAGGGCTTAATTCAAGATTTATGCTACCAGCCTTGTCTTCTGAGGCATTAGAGTTTACAACCCCTTATACGGAAGTCCTCAACTAATGTTTATTGAATTGCTTGATCTCAATGGATTCTGACTTCCTTCAATTCTCATCTACCAGAAATTCCACTCCACCTCAAAACAACACCTGAAACCTTTAACGTAGATCTCTTTCAAAAGAGTGACTCATTCAAGCAGTGATTTATATATTTAAAACCTAAGTGAGGAAGAAGGTAAAATGTACAGCTAGAAAAATTCTCAAATCTGATGTGCACTTCTCCCAACTGGCCAACAAGTTAAGTCCATAGTGTTGAAGAAATTCAGAGAATAATAAAGAGGTCCCTTGGGACTGGCTGTTAGTGCCAACTCCCAGAAGGTAGGAGGCATTCTTACATGGAGGGGACTACAACTGATGACCTCCAGAGGGCCATTTCACCGTTGAGTTTCTATTAAATCATTGGAATTTAAAATAGAGCACTAAAAAGAACTTTAAGAGATCATCAAGGCCATTCCCCTGCCTGTTAGAATATTTTTATATCTCCAAGTTCAATGTTGAAGTGTGAAGGCTCAAGCTGCAAGAGAAATTGGTGGGTTAGAGGGCAGGAAAGCTTAGGGGGAGAAAAGAGAAAGGAAAAGAAAAATCTGAGGATAAAGGAATTTATGCCCTCCCAATTAACCTTACCAAGGACCTCAAAATTCCCAAGGCAACCTTGATTCTACCTTTCTTTCTTTTGTTTTCAAATATGGAATTTTCCCCAGGACTAATGTTAGAATTGAGCATATTCTTCCTTTGATTTATGAGAACATTCAGGGAATATAAGGTCATGAAAGTTACCAAACCAGCTGGCTTCAATGCAAAGTAATTAAATAGAAAGTCTTAAAAACTTAAAATCCTTACTAGACTTGTTTCAGAAGAATGTTACATTTATCTTCCTTTACATTTAAAGTACTCATTCTTATATTTTTAAAATATTTACTCTAGATTTACGTGAACCTTCCCCTGATGACAGCAGTGGACCCTATTCAGAAAATCTATAAAAGAGTAGAAATTAGAGCATCTGTATTTGTGGTTAAACTACTAGTGAACAACATTTAAGGAAATACATGGTTACAGTAATTAGATAACCATAAATGCCTGTTAGTTCAGAAAAGCAAAGTTAAATGCTGGATTTTTTTTCCTAAAAAAAAACAAAAACAAAAAACAAACAAAAAGCCACTACAATGTGAAATAAGCAGAAACAAAAAACAAAAACAACAAACGACCCTGATTTCTTAAAATGTTGAACAAAACTGCATACTTAAGTGGTTATGCTCTAACATGAAAGCAATCTACTCAGTGTAGCATTAAGATGTGGGTTTATAAGCTTCCCTATATTAGGTAAAATGCCTATACCAAGAATTGTGCTATACTATTTATTTTTCAATTCCTTTGATACGATCCTTAAATTATACTTAATAATACGTTATAGACCAGGGCCCACCCAGGGGCTTTCATGACCGCTCTATGCTAATACTGTCTTTAAGACAAGTCAGATCCTTTGAAAAGCCTCTCAGGTTCTAGATTTTATAATTCCTTTGTAGTATGCCTATTCAGATACACAGAGTTAGTAATTTTTCTAAGAAAAAGGATGTCTGAAACTACACTCTTGCAGGTGTAATACTGAGAACACTCACACAAGTAAATCACTCCTACATCCAGCAGCTGGAAAACAGAGCCAATTTCTGGTAAATGGACATGATAGCCAATTAAAGGAAACCAAGTGGTAGCAAGCCTAGATGGTGAAACATGAGCCAATTTTCTGTGACTTTTGCTTGCGGAACCAAGCATGCTTTAATAGAGTGGCTTCAGGTGTTGATACTCTATCAATGTCTACATCTCTCTGATTGAGCGTGACATAATAGCTCTTTCCTTTTTGAAGGCCGAGTGTTTCCATTTTCTTGTATCCTATAGATATCCAAGAGCAAAGAGAGTTGCCACATTACATTTCTCCAAATAAAACCATAGGGTAGTCAAATTAATCTAATTATCTGTGACCCAATTTGATAATACTGCTAAAAGCAATGTTAGAAAGGACTTCTCTAAAGTATGCTCTTTGTTTTCTCATTCATTCTCTTTTCTAATAATTTGGTTGAGAAAATACCCTTTAACACTGAAAATGCACCTGCTTAGATATTTTATGCATAAACTTGAACTATGAAAATGTGTGCTCTATTTACTGGTATTTGGAAAATGTAATGATGAGACACTCAAAATTGTCATCAGTTTAATAAAGGTCTGAAAAATTCTAAAGATTGGTCCAGCATCATTTTCACATTCAACAATCCCACTCAAGCAAGTAATTCTCAGGTGACTAATAAAACAGGTTCAACTACTGGTTCAGCAAAGGTCAGATATATCACTTGCTTGGAGCTCTTTCTATGAAGTTGCACACAGTGAGTTTTCTACTTTCTTCTTTCTTTTCTCACTTTGATCCACTCTTGATACTATTCACTTTAGTTTCTGACTCACAGATAGAAACATGCGGCAGGATTTATGGTATTTTAGAAAATAATTTCATGTTCCATAAGTAACAGAGATGCATAATTCTTTATGGGAATCACTTCATTCCAATTTTTCCAATTATGAATTTACACTGAAACTCCATCTTTGGAAGCAAAAGACTCCAAAAACCTCTGTTGTTTCTTTTTTTTCTTTTCTTCTCCAGTGTACTATCATTCTGAATTTTTAATATTTATAATGAGAGCAAAATTATATGCTTGGAATGCACCCTTCAACATAATGGTATTACAACTAAATATTTATTTGAATTATGTTTATGGTAATAATAACTAATGTGGGTTTTTTTTTTCACGACATAGGTTAAAAGTCTGTAGCCTCTAATTTGACAGGAACTCTATTATCACTTTCTGCAAAATTAGACAGGAAAGAATATTAAGACATCTAAAATCTGACACAAATAGAAATCGCTTTCTCTCACTTTCCTTTTTTTTTT